CAACTAAAGGTGACAAAGATACTTTATTATGGTATAGTATTTAAATATATGCCTGAGAAACACATAATATTGGCCCTTTAAAGCAGACTTAACAAGGCTGGTGTGAATACACCCTGTGACTCTTCTTATCTGATTTAAGTATCATTGATCATAACAACTTTCAAAGACTTTCTCTTGGACACAGATAGGGATTTTAAAAAGTAATTTTCTCAAGTTAATTTGTCACCATTTAATCAAACAAATAAGTGTTTTGTCATTAAAAACATTAACCTCTCTCATCATTTTCTAAAGATGGGCGGGTAACTGATTCCTAAGTAAATGCATGGGTAAAATTGATGTTTATAGGTACCAGAGGAGCCTAAAAATCACTTCCTGTTGTCAGTAGCAGCATGCACCAGTGTCAAACACTGTCTTGATTTTCTGAACTGAATCACGTATTTAAATTAGATCCAAAAGAAAGCTACCCATGTCAGTGAATTAAAACACAGCCTTTTCTCTGCCTTCCACATATCTGCAGCCACTACTAACTGGGGTCGGAGCCAGCGGTGCTCTGGAAGATCATTTTGGCTCTGCAGATGGTCAAGCAGTGGACTGTCATGCCCCAAATTACAGTAATCCTGCTTCGCTCACCTCATTAAAAAAAGGTCACAGATTTTGTCACACTCTTGCATGCAAGTACTCATTACATGTCAAAATAAAAATAAAAAATAGGCAATGGAGAACTGTACATCCTCTAGTGTTTTACATACAGAAAACAAGGAGAATGATATTGTTTGCAAAAAGAAAAAAACTGCTGATTATTATTTCTCTGCAGCATTGCTTCTCCCTAACTAAACAATAATAACAGGACATATCTACACACTCTTTTGCATTTTTATCCACCTACCATTTAAATTGCATGTTTTGCACACAGAGTATAAGACAGTTCTGTGTGTGTAGCTTTTTCTTTCTGCTCAGTAGCTGCAGGCTGTGAGGGGACAGAGTTTCATTGTCGGATGGAGGGGGGGGGGGGGTCAATGAGCCATCTATCCTCAGATATAAACAACACTCTCTTTTAATTGCTGAAGATGGTGGTTGCTTTCTCACAAGCAAACCACCTTATATTTCTATTTAAGCATGAAAAATATGAGGTTATGAACAATATCGTGGCTATTATAATGAACAGGAGCAGGGTCTCCTTACATAACCATGGCTCTCTTTTTCTTTGTTTACAGCTGCAGCTTAGAAGGGGGAAAACGGCCTGAGTGAACTACTGATGACAATAAAGCCAAAGATAAACCCCCAAACAAAGCTTTACATTAATTAGAACCAAACCTTGCTTATATTTAAGTGGGACAAGCTCAACTTTAATACTTTTCTATTATCTGCTGAATGCACCGGCCAAGAGGAGCTCTTCCACTCGGACGATAGGAGATTGTTCTCGGCTTCTCTCCCCCACTCAGCTCCGTCCACTCCATTGCAGCCCCGCCAACGTTTCAAATAAACTCTCCTTAGAAAATATTCACACGCGAGTCTTATAAAGGGTAAAACGTAAGCCCGAATAATAAAAAAATAAGTCCACTTACCTCGACGCGGAACGATGTGCAGCCTTTGAGAAACTCCTTTATGTTGCTCAGACACTCGCCGTCATTCTTCGGTTCGGGGTAAACCTGAAGAGACGGAAACGGTGATTAGCGATAAAAACACCGCTTCACGGCTGATTTTCTTCCCGCACCGCGCCTGGTTGCAAAACGTGTTGCCTTTAAAGTGTATCTTCTTCATCGACACGCATTCTAGTGTGTGTGTGTGTCCACAGGGCCTGACACACACTCCTGTTGGAAACTGAAGACAAGCAGCACTGAGGGAAGTAGAAGGGGACTGAGTCGAGCGAGGAAATGACGTGAAAAATGGGACACATGATGATGTTGCAATGTTTAACCTGGATAACACAAAAATACATCAATTTTTTCCACTCGAAATGCTTAAAATACTAAATTGATCCATCAGAGCAAAGTAAAGCTTCCAAAACTCTAGTTAAAAACACAGTTTATTCCACAATTAAGGGGTCTCATATATGGAGTTCCATTTGTGCCAAATATTTGAATATGTTTTAGGTCCCTGAAGCACTTGTGGGTTAAAAATAATTCAAACGTGGTCAAAAAAAATTAAAAAAAAAAAAGAGAAGAATCAGAAATATTTATTGACAAATAGTGCACATTACTATGAATTTGCTCTGGGGTCACAGTGGCATTGCATTGGAATTAACAGATGAACTGGAWGTGTCACAAAGAAAAGAAAACAAAAGAAAAGAATAGAAAAATTGTGGAGCATATTAAATCATTTGTTTCTCAGAAAAATTCTGCAAAAAAGTGAAGTTGTGAACTCTGAACCGTCATGGTTTGTGTCTGTGTAGGTGAGTGCATCTGAACACTGTTTATTTATTTATTTATTTATTTATTTATTTATTTATTTATTTATTTATTTATTTATTTATTTATTTATTTATTTATTGTTTGTTTGTTTGTTTGTTTGTTTGTTTGTTTGTTTGTTTGTTTTTTGATTACCGTTTTTTTAACTATAAGTCACTTTTTTCATAGTTTGGCTGGCTCTGTGGCTTAAAGGGGCAATAAAATCAACTTTTTTGAGTTTTATATCATGTTATACAGTTATTCCCKCATCAAAAACATGTCCAGAGTGTTGCTTTGACTCATTCATGCATTGTGAAATCCTGTAATGTTCTGTGGTACTGTAGCTATTCAAGAGAACAATCTGGTTGGCCCTAGAATGGCCTTTTAGGTGCAGCTCCTCCTCTGGGCTGTGTCTCCAAGCCCAGCTTCCTCATCACAGAGCATGACTCCCCCATGACTCCTGCAGGTTATCTGCAGCAATAACTAGCAAACAGCTGGTGAAACTGTGCATCTGCTGAGATCATACTATTT